AGAGTTGTATTGTTTCTTTTTTTAGTACCTGTGGTTCTTTTTTGAGATTCTTATAAAAAGTATGGCCCAATACTTGGTGAATAACAATCTGATGGCGCTGTCCAGAAATCGAAGATTCCCCGCTAATTACGTCTACAGTATACAGAATTTGTTGCAAACTATCATGTCGCGTATACTATTGAAGTATAAGGAAAACCGAGAAGATTCTAAACTGTCAAACTTTTATCTTGCAACCTTCATTAAGGTAAGTGTCTGTTGCATGTAACGCAAGTGGAGGAAAAGATATCCAAAAAGAAAAGACTATATCTGTCGTTTTCATTGTCGATGTCATAAACTTTTTGTACGTGTGTTAGTTAGTCCCAAATTAATCAGAGATGGATTTTTTAATGCCAAAATCAACTTTCCTCATCTTTCCTAAAATAAACCTGTATAGTCTCTCAATAATGTTTCATCAAAACTAGTAGGTAAAGGGAAATTACTTCTTTTAGGTTCAGTATTACATGAAATGTGCAAAACATCACATTTCCTGGGGGGAAAAAATGATCACGTTTCAATGAAGATTTGTATGTGCTTACTTTTTTTGAAATGCCTGACATTACATTTTTTTTGTCGAATATTTCAGTGTTTTTATTGTGTTTTATGTAGTTTGGTTGTACCTGTTTTGTGTTCATAAACTTGTATGTGACCTGTTCATTTCAGGATTGTTTCACCTACATGGACCGTGGTGTAATATTTAAACTGATAAACATTTATGCCGACTATTTCAATCCAGGAGATCATAAGGTGAGCAGTTACATATTTAATAGTAATTTTAATAATAATATAATTCAATTTTATTACCTTGCCTGTATCATCAAAGATGGAAGGGAAAGGTATATTAAAGAAAAAATGTTTGTCCAGCATTGTCGTCGTCATCGTTAATAATTATTATTATGTGCACAATAACTTTACTAATTCAATTCCAAACTTTATCAAACTTGGTCACCTTATTTATCAGTATATAGTCTTCCCTGAGTTTGAACAACAGATGTCCTGTATGAAAATATCATGCAAAATTTGAGAAAATCTGATAAAATATTTTATCACTGGTGATATACATTCAAATGTTCCACAGTCTGAAACACGTTTGGAAACCTACCAATAAAATCTTTACAGAAAACAAGATGTCAGAAAATCAATATAAGCACTCCTATGAACTGGGTGCCAAACTTTGATAAAGATCTGAAGCTAATAGAAAATCTGTTTGGTCCAAAGTTATCAAATCAACCCAAATACATAAAAAATACATCTTCATCTTTCGTGTGCTTTCTTTAATGTGGGTTAATGCCATTATGATACCATTAAATATATGTGCTTGATAGTTCCTTATGACAGATAGTAACTGTTTCGTTTGTGAAACTTTGTCTTCTTGAAATGAACATTTTCAGTCATTTCCGTGTTGTGTGTAATCTGTTTTTGTCATATTCACCACCAGATACTCCTTGAGATGAAGTTTGAATTCTATAAAGTGGTGTGCAACCATGAACATTTCATTGCACTGAATCTACCACTGCAGCACAAGGGTAAAATCCAACAGTTCAAAGGTAAGCTCCAAAAACATACTTGGAGGAAAACACCTTCCTCTGACTCTATAAAATCTGATTGTTGATTGGCTGATAATCATGTGCATGTGACATGAAGTGCCATATCAGCCAATCACCCATGTTTCTTATTGGGTTATCTCAATTGTTCTTCTCTATCATCCAATTCTTTCTTTGACACTGGTTGATGTTGTTTTTTTCTTTCTCATTTTGCCTTGTTATGTGCAGTTTACGCATACTCTGCTTATCTTTGACTTCATTCAAACACTAAATTTTCTTTTTAACACTCTTCTGCAAACTTTACTCTTCATCATTACGCGATTTAATTTGTTATTTCTTCAGATGAGGACGAAAGTCTTTACCAAGATGAAGAATTCATTTTCAGTAAGATGCCCGTCTCAGTCCTATCTTTGTATCGCATTAACTCGTGTATCGTGTTGAATGGCGTGCCTCACTAAGGAATGAACTAAAACGTGTGGTGCACATTTTTGCATCTGAGTCTATAGATGATAACAGTATGTAGTGAGCTTCTTGACGCTGACTCCCCGGGTTTATTAACACTGCTATAATTTTCTGCTTCAGTTAACTTACTAATAGCATGTCCGATATTTACAGAAAGTGTCCCTGTGATGATTAGATGCATTCCCATTTGTAGTACTGGTAGTTAGTGGAGGGAAACGTTCACAAACACCTGAATATTTGTATCTTTCTCAAATCTGTAACACAATAGGAGTGTCTGTGTGTATTGATTGTATGAGTTCTTATCTAGTACATTTATTATTCTACAGTTGACATGTGTGGTACATCTTGAGTATTGCATGTAGATTGCACTGGAGTGTTTAGTGATTTCCGATAAATTCCAATTAATGCAGTCGTCAGATGTCAATAAAGGTTCAATTCTTTAGATCTACAGCATGCTCTTCTAAACATTGTAAAATTTGTTCAAGCACTTAGTTGTTTCAACATAGACCAAGGTTTACTGATGATATTCAAACTTTATTAGTTGTTGCATGTCATTACATACATTGTACACATTGAACTTGCGGGTCCAACCTTGCCAAGTTCCATAATTCTGTAAATCTAAAGGATGCCACTCCCAGTTCTCTTGTCAATTAAGGTACAGTGAAAATCATTTACATTTTCCATTGATATTCTTTAAAAAGTTAAA